GTTGTTCTTTTTGTAGCAACAGCAGCGCTTCTTCAATTTGGGCTCGAAATTTGAAAGATCGACAAACTATTATTTATAAACTGAATTTGACAAATTTATAAAAAAATTGAATTTATTATAGTTAATTTTTATAAAATTTAATTAACAATTAGAAGAATAGATTATACATAATATACAAGGAGGGTCGGAAATTATAATACTGACAAAAGTATGACTATTATTGTAAACCAAACTGTGTAGACCCTTTTCTATTGTTGTCAATCCTTGTCTTAGTGCAGGTAGCCTCCCGTATTTAAAAAGTGAAACTGACGAGAGAGAGAAAGATATACAACGGATTATTGCTCTCTCTCTCTCTCTCTCTCTAACAGCGGGAACGAACTCTGTAGAAATGGGCAGCAGACAATCACATGAATGTAAGAGAGAGATAGCGAAAAAGTGATGTATCTCTTTCTCTCTCGCACCAAAACCATACTCTCTTCCATATACAGCAGGCACGACCTTCAGTAGGAGCCTAAGTAGGGATGCGTTAAGAGCACATTATGGTCCGTTGTGTCACTGTGACTATGGCACGAGGTGGGGAAAGCTATTAGAGTAGGGAGAAATGAGTTGGCCATGCCTGATTTACAGGCTACCTAAGATGTTTGTAAACACTGCCCCGAACAGAGACAACTACAGCAGTGGAATGCATGACAAGCACATTGTACATACTAAATCGTTTACGAGTTGAACAAACTTTGAAAACGATTTTCATGAAAACGGATGAAAACATGTTATACCAAAATGAATCATCCCCTGCTCGGTTTTCCTACGATTTCCAGCCCAATCTGTATATAAATATGTACATAATATAGAAATCTGAGAACATAAAATAACACTTAAATGAGTCACATCGTTAAATACATAGTTTAGATTTAGATACGTAGTGAGTAGATATGGATATAGTGGCTCACGAAAGTGCGCCTTTTAAAGCTGACTTGGAAATGTATACGCGACGTAAAAAATAGATATTGTCTCGAGAGGATACAAATTTCAATATTACATAAAATCTATAAAAAACTATCTATGTATAGAATTTTTGCTATTACTCATAGAAGGGCATGTCCGCGATCAACTTATTGCACATAACATAGGCAGCTGTATAAACTAAACCTTAATATATTTTAGAATATACTCCCTATCTGTAATTAAACGTTCGCTTAAATTCTTATAGTTAAATACGTATTTCCCAATAGAATTTACCGAATACTAGTGAAAAGGTTTAATACAGACTTGTTTTCTTTCTGACTACGCGCCTTACTGAATACATTCCAGAAACGCAACGTTTCGTCCCCGGCGCCGGTTACGATCGCCTCGCCGTCCGGCGACATGGCTAAATACAAAACTCTGTACGAATGTCCGGTCAATTTCGCGACCTGCGTCAAGCTAGGGTACTTCCATACCAGAATCTGATTCTGCGAGTAGCCGTGGGTGCTGACTAGTTCCGAGCTGTGTTTGCTCCAGGCTAGATTGCAGACTTGTGAGCCGGTGTCGACGCACTGCATAGGCTGGCCGGTTAAAGTGTTCCAAAATCGGACGCACCTGTCCGCTGTTCCACCGCCGGAGGCCAGAAGTCCGTGATGATGCGGGGACCACGCGATGGCCTTCACGGCGGCTAAATGCTCGGTGTAAGTTTGTACCGGCGAGACCGAATGCAGATTCCATACGTAAAGCCGATTGTCGTTGCCACCAGACGCCAGATATTGATTATCAGGCGACCATTTCAATCCACAGACCTCCTGCCTGTGGGCTCCTAAACGTCTCTCGCCGACAACACAAGGAGTTCGCACGTCTCTTTGTAATATCAATCTGTCTCTACTGCCAGACGACAAAACTTCACCGTTCCAGGCTAACGCCCCGACCCTCGCACTGTGTCCCTGTAATTTGCTTACTTGTTTGTTTACAGCCACGTCCCATACTTGTATGTAACCTAAGTGGGTACCGACTGCGACCAGGTTTCCTCTTTCATTCCACGCGACCGACGTAACGCTGTTACCGTCGCTGGTTAAGTCGCAGAGTCTCGTTACTTGGCTAGTGCAGGCCGACCACAAATAAACGCAACTGCCCAGCCCTACGCTGAGCACGTTTTGAGACGACCAATCGACGAGGTTTAGGTAGAAGTCGTCCTGCAGCTCCGGAGCGTCCAGCACTTTGAACGGTATTCTCGAGATCTTCCTCGTCGCCTTCCTTGGAGATCTTAAAAGTTTCTGACTCTTGGCACTCAACGGTGACAGAGAGTACGGTGAGCTTTGATCCAAAAGCGTGTGGTCCTTCGTGGGTGTAACGTATTTGAACAGGTTTCTGCTTACCAATGGTGACAATACTCTCCGCTCCTCGCACTGGCCCTTAACATCCTCTATGCTAGCTCCCAGCAACTCGTTTTTTAACAAACAGGAATAGGCGATTCCGTCCCGATTGCTTTCGCCGTTCTCCCGAGTTTTCTTTGCAACCGTCCCGTTCCTATTGTTCTCCGATATCATCGAGAACGTCGTCTGCCAATTGTTGCCAGACCGTGTCGGTATGAATCGGTCGAAACTGTTATTCACCATCTTGGTCGGCGAGAAATACATCGACGACGCGAGCCCCGGCCCAGCCAGGTTATCTATGTGGCTCTCGCTGTTTGACTTCAACAGCCGTTTCTCGTACTCGTGGTGAAACATTTTTCTATCCTCTCTCGACGATTAGATTCAATCACATAATTATGTCTCGTCACACGTATGTACACACACGCACACACGTTAGTTTTCGTTCAGATTCCTATGTTCGTTCCATCATCCGGCATTATTTAAGCGAACGGTTTCTTGTTTCGTTGATGGTCAACTTGGGCAATTTTCGTTACAAGAATTGAAACTCAAGTATTGGACGTGGTTTTTTTTAATTGAAATGATAGCTTCTTAGTGCCCATGTACTTGTAAGTAACACTGCGAACGGCTGCTCTCCGAGACAGATGGTCGTACGTTCGACGAAAATAGTATATACGCTCGAGTCGACCACCTGGCGGCGTTTTGTGTCAACTACTTATGAGTAACACGATTTTATATACATCGAAATATAGCTGGCACAGAATATTAATATTTTTTAAGTATTTTCACGTTAGGGCATATACAAATGGACGCAGTCACTCAATGACAGTGTGGGTGACGAAAATGAGAGAGAGAGAGACAGACTATAAGGAATGGAAATAGCTATCTCTCTCTTGCAAAGTCGTGATTGGTTACTTGCTCTCCCCTCTAACTGAATCACCACGTTTCGCAAGAGAGATAGTTTAAATTGTCTCTTTCTCACTATTTGCAATAATTATAACAGTTTAAATTGTCTCTTTCTCATTATTTGCATCCATTTTTGCTTCCTTTCAAGATTTTTTGGAAATCTAACAGACAATACAATCAGATAATGTAACTTTTTGTAGATATAGTTTCAGATAAGGTAATTAAAAAATTACTCCAGAACAAATAAAGTTCTAAAAATGTACAAATTGGAACTAATACAACAGCACATTATGTTAGTG